GTGAAGACTGTACTGTATTTGGATTATGATGTTGTTTTAGAGTTTAGACTGTAGTGTATTTGGATTATGATGTTGTTTGAGAGGGAAGACTGTAGTGTATTTGGATTATGATGGTATTTGAGAGTGAAGACTGTAATGTACTTGGATTATGATGTTGTTTGAGAGGGAAGACTGTAGTGTATTTGGATTATGATGTTGTTTTAGAGTTTAGATTTGGATTATGATGTTGTTTGATAGTTTAGACTATAGTGTACTTGGATTATGATGTTGTTTGAGAGTTTAGACTGTAGTGTACTTGGATTATGATGTTATTTGAGAGTGAAGACTGTATAGTATTTGGATTATGATGTTGTTTGAGAGTTTAGACTATAGTGTACTTGGATTATGATGTTGTATGAGAGTTTCGACTGTAGTAAATTTGTTTTGTTGTGTTGTTTGATATTTAGTCTACACCCCGTCTGTCTCCAAACATCCAAGTCAGACCTGACCATCACCTCTAATTTTGTGTGCATTGAATGGTGTGATGTTATAACAACCTTACATACTTTGCTGTCATATTCACATTTTACCGTAACTGTAATTCTGAGAACACCACTAAAGTGAATTGATATTGACACTAATTAGTTGCTACTTTGATATATAGAATGAATTTAAGAGAGGCTCCTGCTTTCCATCAACATTTTACTGTTTAATGATATAAAGCCTTGTAGTTAATTTTCCTGAATTAAAAATGTTTTAAATTTAATATAGAAGCCTCATAATGTAAGACAAGTCTACAAAGAAGTGCTAGAATAACAAAGAACTAGTGTCAGGCTTAGTTTTAGTCCATCATTATATGTAGCTGTGTTTAGTCAAACCCAGTTGTATGCTGCTCCTGTGATTAACTAAACGGTAAAAGGTACAACAGCCCAACAGAATGGGATGTCAAAACTTTACATTGTTTGAATACTGCAGGAGAAAGAGTTTTTTTGAGGGCACCTCCAGGTAACTTTTCTTTTGTGTCCCTGCTGATAAAAAAAAAGGTGTTTTATTTTTAATGATAATCTGTACACCTGTTTTTGCCATTAAGGCTATATTCTAGTTAAGTGTCAATCTTGACTGATTTCGATTTCAGATTTTGATCAGGGTGTTTTTTTATGAAAGTTATGCCCCTTAGTGTAAAAGCATTGTTTCAAGCACTCCTCCCAATGTACTGCACCAGTTTGAAAAACCTTTGGTACACAGAACCCTTACATCAGGGGAATGTCAATAAAGTATACAAATTTGTGTTACCTACGTAAACGTGTACATGTACCCTTATTATGGAGTTATTCACCTTTGTTTAAAATGTCGTTCATACTTTTCCTCCAAAGAACTGTACAGATTAGAATGATACTTTGTTCATTTAACATTTGCATTGAGAGTATGTGAAGAAAGTATATAAGTTGGATTTACCTCCCCTATTTATAGAGTTAAGTGCTTTTGTTTAAAAAAGTTCTCAAAATAACTATTCCTACAGTTCTTGGCACAGGGAGCACCAGAGTTTTCATTGTCTATGAAGCATGAATCCAGATTTTACCAATGCATGTCTTAAATTGACAGAAAAATCTCCTATACTCTGTCATCTACATAAGTAAAGCTAGTGAATACTTCTTGCAAGGACGTAGTGTCCTGTACTAAAATTTGGTCTTGTGCCCCACTAAATAGAGTTATGGCCCTTTGTTCAATTCTAATACCAAAGTTTGTGCAGAGTATAACTTCCTTGCTATATTTATGTATCTTTGGCTGTTTATTTTTTTCAATGTTAGTCTGAATAGCAATGCCACAACAGCTACATTGTTTGACCGGTTGGTAACTTTGGATTCCTTACGAGAATTTGCCTTGTTTAATAAACAGACACAGCATTATTGTGTTTTACATGATTTTCATTTCACAGCCATGGCCATATTTGAATTTTCATGTTATATCTTCCACAGATAAAGCCGTACCTGCTTAAGTCCCTGATTGGCAGACCTGTGTCTGAGGTAGCTTGTGGAGACAAGCACTCCATCTTCAGATTTCAGTCTGGCTCCATCGCTTGTGTCGGGTAGGTAGTTTTTAAACTAACATAAAGTCATTTTATAAACAATATTTAGTTCCAAAGATTGTAAACTTTCTATGGAATTGACCTAGTGTTGTTATGAAGAAAAGCTTTCGTTTTGATAATGAGAAACTTCAAAAGCTCAGAGGCTCAAAAGGAACTCTCAACAAGGAATCAAACACAAATGCTAAATTCCATTGCAGAGCTAGCTGCCTGACTTGGGGTCTGAGAAGCCTGAAACCTCTGATCAAGGCTGACAAGGAAGCAGCAGTACTCCCTTCTGGTCTGCCATGAAATGCAAGGCACTGGTTCCAAGTTCTAAACTGTGTTCCCTGAAAAGAATCCAAAATATATTTTTAATCACCTGCCTATTCTAGATCAATCTGCCTTTAACCCCGCCAATGATAGAAGATTATCAAATTGAATTGGTAGATGGCAGAGGAGGAAGACATACAACATGTGTGCAGAAAATAGAGGCATCAACCAACAACATCTAAACATGTAGGTGGAGGAACTGGGGATACATGGCCCTGGACCAAGGCTGCTGAAGCAAATCAAAACTGTGAGCCAAAAGTAACAGCAACCCAAGGAACTAAGACTGCCTTGCAATTGGTGACATGAGAGCTATCAGATGTGTGGAGGGAAAATGCTCCAGAAACTTCTGAAGCATCCTGCCCATCAAGCTAAATAAGCACTGCAGGTCACGGATTGAGGCAATAACATACCTGCTGTTAACAACTCCATGTATGAAGGAACTTGTGTGGGAACCCGCTGCTTTTGTATCCTACTCTTGGGAACAAAACAGCGACCAAAATAAATATCTCTACCTCTGAACAACCTTTTTGTTTCCTTAAGTGTTGAATGCTCGCCCAGCTGAGAAAGGCCTTAGAGATTGTAGTTGCTATTCCCTGTGAAACTTTTAGCATTAAAAGTAACCGCAGTAAACTGGTTAATAATATGCTGACTGAAGACAGCCAGAATACTGTACTGGTTGTCTTCAGTCAGCATTAGATCCGCACTATCGCAAGGATGAAAATACACCAACATACTGCCAGAAAACATACACACATGCACACACACATTACACACATGGAGGCACGTCCTTAAATGACCTCACCTGTTAATAAAACATTAAACTTTATAAAACCAAAACCAACATGTTCCAGTTCAGAAACAACTGTAATGTTGTTGTTTTTATTTGGTTTGTTTGTGTTTTATGTCCTATAAACAGCTATGGTAATTTAAGGACGTGTCAGGTTTTGGTGGTGGAGGAAAGCCGGAGTTCCTGGAACAAAACCACCGACCTATAGCCAGTACCTGGCAACTGCCCCATGTAGGGCTAGTGGTAGCAGAATGCCAGACGCCTTAACCACTTGGCCACCGTGGTCCCATCATCTTGTTTGTCATCACACAAATGACTGCAGGATCTCCTGAAGACACTGCAGAGCTACCAAGACTTCTCTAATCACCAGCATCAATGTACTTTCGAGAGGTGATCTTTGGACCACTGGCTGGAATTGGTATGATTGTCCAGGTACCCAACCCTGTCATGGAAGCATCTGCGTGTGGAGTCATTGTGGGAGCAGCTGTGTGGAGTACTCCTTGAAGGAAACTGTTTGGAGGAATTTACAGAGCAGCAGATACTTCACTGTTTGGGTTAAGGGAAGTATGGCTTCCTGATGCCTTGAAACTGACCCAGGTAGACAGGTGGAGCATCTGTAATGGTCTGATGTGAAGGTGTCCTAGAGGGACCACATATGCCAGGGAGTTGATGTACCCCAGACAGAAATCAGAGGAACCAACACACCCGGACCTAAGGCATGTTTATGAAGAAGATAGCTTAATCCCAAACCTTCAACAAACCTTTTCTCTGGTGAAAGAACAATACAAAGAAGCACATTGCATTGGTTGCTGAGGAAGACAAAGTCCTGAGACAGAGGCACCTCTTGACTTTCTCTGGATGGGATAAAACACAACTTATCAGTCAGAAGTTTCAGGATCAACCAAATATCCAGAACCATTGAATTCTCGACAGTATGTAGCGTGAACATGGTGTGTAGGAATCTGACAACAATCTGCAACAGTTCCATAAAACCGATGGCACAGTCTTGAGCCTGAATGACATGGCCTGGCCTGGAGCTGGAAGACCTTGCCACACTGACTTCCTGATAGAGATGTGGAAGTAGGCATCCTTCAGAATGACCAAGGTTTCCCACATTTCCTCTCCTACCAAGGGGGTAGACCCCAAGAGGTCTTAATCTTGAATAAAGGAAAACCTATGTGCCTGTTGAAAACACTTTGAGAAACATTTCAGAATAAAAGCCTAGAGTGTCATAGCTGTAACCTTCACAACTATGCCCTTGGAGAGCAATGTCACTATCCTTTTCAGCAATTCTCTGCTTTTTTGGGTCAGCTGGGTTGGGAGATAATGGAACAATGGAATTACCAAACACTCCAATACCACCAACAAAGGTAAGCTGTCATGGCTTACTTATTAATTATTGACATTGAGAAAGAATTGATCCCAACTAGTAAATCCAGCAGCAGAAGATCTAGGACTACCCAAGCGTCTGATCCAGACCGGAAGGGTTTCAGCCAGATTCAGTAAAGGATCTTTATTTGATTTCAAATTTGGACAATAGTGAATCAGTTGCATGCCCAAGTTATTGTAATTATCACTGAAATCAAAACAGACCTCTAACAATTCACATGTTGCTCTATGTCTAATCTAGTAACTGACCTATATTTACAGGTGCAATTCCACTGGACAGATAGGGACAGGTGACAGAGAGGAAGCACTAGTGCCAAAGATCCTCGAGATGACTGGTCCAATCACACATGTGGCATGTGGCTCCAACCATAGTCTAGCAATTTCAGGTAAGGCTTGGAGCTGTCAAGTAGGGAAATTGTGTAGGTAATGTACATCTCAGGTAGTGTTACTCTCAGGTATGGCTTAGAAATTGTCAGGTAGGGAAATTGTGAAGGTAATGTACATCTCAGGTAGCGTTACTCTCAGGTAAGGCTTGGAGCTGTCAAGTAGGGAAATTGTGTAGGTAATGTACATCCCAGGTAGTGTTACTCTCAGGTACGGCTTAGGAATTGTCAGGGAGGGAAATTGTGAAGGTAATGTACATCTCAGGTAGTGTTACTCTCAGGTAAGGCTTGGAGCTGTCAAGTAGGGAAATTCTGTAGGTAATGTACATCTCAGGTAAGGCTTAGGAACTGTCAGATAGGGAAGTTGTGTAGGTGATGTATATACCAGATAGTGTTACTCTCAGGTACGGCTTAGGAATTGTCAGGTAGGGAAATTGTGAAGGTAATGTTTATACCAGATAGTGTTACTCCTGGGTAAGGCTTAAGAATTGTCAGGTAGGGAAATTGTGTAGGTGATGTACATCTCAGGTAGTGTTACTCTCAGGTAAGGCTCAGGAATTGTCAGGTAGGGAAATTGTGTAGGTAATGTACATCTCATGTAGTGTTACTCGCAGGTAAGGCAAAACAATCCATAAATGACTGTCTGAAGTAAGAAAATATGTTCCTCTGCACAATTCCTCTGCATAAGAGACCAGTCTTAATTACTGTCGGAGATAGACAAAGATTCCTTTACATAAATGTGTATTCTGACTGAGATGTTAAGTCTGAGATAGCGCATATTTTAAGGGTTTCTCTATATAACTGTTAGTCTGACTGTGATATAAGTCAGGGTCTGTTTATGCAGCAGCATGCCTTTACATGTGTTGGGATGTTTTCAGGTGAAAGGTTCTTAGGTCAAGGACACTATTTCTAGTTACAATTTTTTTTCTATAGTTCAAGATTTCTTAAAAGGAATTGAAGGAGATATTGGAAAGTGTCATTAAATAATAGTATTTTTATAATATCGTGAATTTGATATCAGTTGATATATGAAATTTAACGAAACTTCAATTGTCTTAAACAAAGATTTCACCCGCAATCCTTTTAAGACTTGTATTCATATGAAGAGTTAACATTTCCTCTGTTCTGTTTCAGACAAAGGCGAGGTGTATATCTGGGGCTACGGAAAGGCATGTGGAAATAAATCCTCTGATGTGTTGTCTCCTGTTCTCATGGAAACTGGAAGAAGCAAGGTCACGAAGGTCGCTGGTGGAATGTATCACAGCATGGCACTTACAGGTAGGATACAGATGGAAGGTGGGGGAAGTCTCAAAGTTGATATAAAGAAGAGGCCAGACTGAATGTCTGCTTGTAGTAGTTACCTGAAGTACAAGAGGGTGGACTGAATGTCTGGGTTTGTAGAAGTTACCTGAAGTAGAGGTCGGACTGAATATCTGGGTTTGTAGTACTGTAGTTACCTGGAACAGCGCGAGGCTAGACTGTATGTCTAGGTTTGTAATAGTTACCTGAAATAGAAGCTGGACTGAATGTCTGGTTTTGTAATAGTTACCTGAAATAGAAGCTGAACTGAATGTTTTAGGTTTATAATAGTTACCTGAAGTAGAGGCTGGACTGAATGTTTTAGGTTTATAATAGTTACCTGAAGTAGAGGCCAGACTGAATGTTTTAGATTTATAATAGTTACCTGAATGAAGTAGAGTCTGGACTGAATGTTTGAGGTTTATAATAGTTACCTGAAGTAGAGGCTGAACTGAATATTTTAGGTTTATAATAGTTACCTGAAGTAGAGGCCAGACTGAATGTTTTAGGTTTATAATAGTTACCTGAAGTAGAGGCCAGACTGAATGTTTTAGGTTTATAATAGTTACCTGAAGTAGAGGCTGGACTGAATGTTTTAGGTTTATAATAGTTACCTGAAATAGAAGCTGGACTGAATGTCACTATTGGTAGGAGACCGTTACCTGAGGCAAAGATTGAATGTTAGGGTATGTATCTGTAGCACAGCTGTTCTGTTGGCTGTTGCTAATTTAGTGTTGTTTTGGGGAGGGATGGGGGGGACTATGTAACAACTGTTACGGCCAGTGATTATGTAGACATATTCGTGCTAGGGATGGTTTGCAGCCCTTTTTTCTCTGACCACAACCAACTAGAAATATTGCTGCTGCCTTTCTTGTTCTGCCTATTACTTTACAGCCAGTCTAGTGCCAGGCTACCACAAAGTACTATGTGGTCACTGAGTGATGTCAATGGTCTGGTTCCTCTTAGGAAAAGCTTAAGGCACTTCATGGTAGTGTGCTCTCAGAAAAAAAGGGCTATTTGACATGCAATGCAAGTAACTATAATATTTTATCAGGCAATAGTCTGTAATGGGCAAGATCTTTTGTGGAGAACTTTCTAACCACAGTTCCACAGGCTGCAGCCGCTAAGGATGTTTGTGTCAGATGGTCGTATTATCTCGGGATGGAGAAAGAGCATGTTGAGATTCGCTCCCAGAAATCAGTTTCTTTATAACTCATCATTAATCAGGACTTTGATGGCTAAACAACACCAGATTACAATGAGGTATGATAACAACCTCATTCCCCTTAAACAAATGCCCTGATTTCTTCAATATTACTTGACACATGAAACGTACATGTAGCATAAAACAAAGAAATAATACATTTATTTTGGTATTTTAGTGTTGGTTTCTGTGAAATATGTGAAAATTTAACTTGTCACTGCTTATTTGGTTAGATAGTTGTTACTTTGTAGATAAATAGTATTGGAGCAGTATTTTGTACAAAAACTTGCCAAGGAAAGAATAGCAGTTACTTCCCTTTGCCTATAGTGGTTGTAGCCATGGACTTGGCCTGCTTTCTGTCATACAGTTGTAGAAATTACATGGTTACCAGAAGATATAAGTTCACTCTAAACATCTGCTATAAACTTCGTACCACTATAACATACATCAATAAATCCTGAACCAAAAGTACTCATAAATCTATTTTTTCTAAAATTATCATTCTGATATTGAGATAATGTCTTTAAGAAATCATTGACTTTTTTTTAAATTTTAGAATTAAATATAATAAAATGCATGAAAAATGTGTCTCCTCAAATAAATATTTGAAATGTATGTGTTTAGAAAAAGAAGAAGGGACAAATCTTAAGTAAATGAGTGGATACAAATTGGGTGATCATTGTTGGTGTGGATATCATATTTTAATCCAGCTCCGTGTTGTATCATTATTTTCCTGAAATATTTAAAAAGATCTCTCAGGGATAGCACCACTATCTCCTTGTACTCATCTTCTTCTGCTTGAGATTTATGAAGATTAAAAATTCAATCTTTTAGACCAATGAGGAAAAAAACAAATTATTTTGAAACCTCAACCAAAATTACCAGCGACATGCTGCGTGTTTATGTAACAGGAGAGGGAATGACACATGCTAATTTTTTTATAATCTGCAACTGGATATCTGTATTGGGTTGATAAACGCCTGACATTTGGTGCTACAATTCATTATCAATATGAAATCCAATATCAAGGCTTGTATCGGGAATTTTCCCACCCTGCAAACCCTACTTTTAAGCAGTAAATGATTATATATTCAGCAATTATAATTTGCATACACTAGATGTAACAATGTGGCCCATTCACAGTGACATAATTCTTACCACAATCCATCATCGCTATCCCGCTACATATTTACAACATCCAACAGAATGGCAAAATTAAATAAAAATAAAAACTTGAGCTTGCACCTCCTAACTTACATTCAACCAAGTTGTAAATCATTAACTTATGTAACCTGAACGATGCGTTACTAACTGTTGGGGCATGGAGTGAACCTTCTGTGGTGATAAGGACAGTGCAGAATAAAGACCTGGGGTGATGAAGGTCATGTTATCTGTGGTCGGTTTTGGTTACATGCAAATCAAGGCACTCAAGTCTGCAGCATAACACAACACTATAAGTTACTTTTTTAATAGCACATTAATATACCTTAAATCCAGATTCAATTTTCAAAAGAAAAAAATAACCTTTTAGCTTAAACCATATAATTATTGCATCAAAGGTATTTACAAAAATGTATATATGTATTTAAAATTCAAGGCTTAAATTTTACAGTTTGTGTTGTCAAAATTATGTGTTTAAAATTCAGTGTTTTACTTCAGGTCATTAATGACGTATATGTAAAATATCCAAACACAGCTATGATCTACTGGAGGCTAGGAGAGTAACATGTGTATTTATTTGTATGTATTGTTTGTGCACTGAGTATAATACAGTTTAATTTTACTACAAACTTATAGCTGTCACTGCTCTATTTAAAACATCTCATTTAGAATTTTTAAATTAGAGGATAAAAAACAATTATTTTCTAGCCTGCAAACAGTATTTTCACTTTTATTAGTTAATGAATATTGCTTCTAATGGTCAAATCATTTGTTCTACTGGTTTTATAATTTTTTTCTCACTAGGCATTGAAATGGTAAAAATGAAAACCTTTATAAAACATACGTGTTTATTTCTGCAATGTTTTAGGGAATGACATTTTTTTTAAATGAGCTGCAGTGGAATTCGCATACTGCATTTAAATCTAAAGATCCAGTAGTTGAAGTGGAGTCTGTGCGCTTTAGTTGTATTGGCCATAGTCGAGACAGCATATCTTCAAAGATTCCTCACTTACTCAGTACTATGGCCCACAAAGTGTTGTGTGCCTGCAGGCCTGACATGACATAAGACATTTAATTATTACGTTTAATCATAGTGCTGTAATCTTGGGTGAAATCCACACTGCAGAGGCCAGCTACAATCGCCAAATACAATGCACTGGTCGCATGAGGTTGCATAATAATGCCCAAAAAATAACCGTCAAATTTTCTACTTGATGAAACCCTTCAATTTGGTAAGAAAGGACATCCTTTTGGGTGTGGGTCGCAGTAGTACTACAATCAGTACAGGTGTCATTATAGCTAGGCTGGGGCCATTTGTCTCCTTGATCTGTCTATAATAATCAGCATTAGGCACACTTTACTGCATACAGAACTTTTGCAAATAGATCGGGAGATAATGGTGTGATCCAATTTTTTTCAATCGTATAAAAGGCCTTTAGTTTTCTCTATGGAACACCATTGTATCAATCAGAGTATAAAAACTTAGAAAGCTGTTTTTTTTAGTTATTGACATTTTTCTTTATAGCATCTGATAATTCACTAATCTAAGCATGTAAAATAGAGATTTAAGGGTGCCTTGTTTGGGGTGACGCAGTGTAACCTGTGCGTTTGGTTGTTTCGGTTGGTAAGTGGCCGATCAGTGATAGAAGTGTTAAATAATCTCACAGATTGACACCAGTGATGGCAGATAATCTCCGCGAATTCCTGCCAGTAAGGTTAATCATTATCTAGTACAACACTCTTTTGATCCTTGTAACTTCTGTAGGCACGAACACAATTCTATACTCAGAAGGCAAATTTTGTGAATTTGTCGTAAAAAGTTGCATCGTAAATCTGAAATAGGGATTTTAGTTTAATTTAATGATTTTAATTTGACAAGCTAAAAGTACAGTTTTAAGTGCAAGATGGTATTAAATTACAACATATCTATTTTTGTTACCCACACACAGGTCCACTGATGTCCTTCCACTCTATACATGATCTTTGATAGCCATGAACAGGTGCTACATACATTTTTGTCACATTGTTTCTATCTATGTCACACTTTATACAACTTTGTACAATGACACATTGTGAACATCTTTGATAGCCATGAACAGTTGCTTCATACATCTTTGTCACATTGTTTCTATCTATGTCACACTTTATACAACTTTGTACAATGACACATTGTGAACATCTTTGATAGCCATGAACAGGAGCTTCATACATCTTTGTCACATTGTTTCTATCTATGTCACACTTTATACAACTTTGTACAATGACACATTGTGAACATCTTTGATAGCCATGAACAGTTGCTTCATACATCTTTGTCACATTGTTTCTATATATGTCACACTTTGTACAACTTTGTACAATGACACATTGTGAACATCTTTGATAGCCATGAACAGGAGCTTCATACATCTTTGTCACATTGTTTCTATCTATGTCACACTTTTTACAACTTTGTACAACGACATGTTGTGAACATCTTTGATAGCCATGAACAGGTGCTTCATACATCTTTGTCACATTGTTTCTATATATGTCACACTTTGTACAACTTTGTACAATGACACATTGTGAACATCTTTGATAGCCATGAACAGGTGCTATATACATCTTTGTC